TGGAGGATCATTGTTCCTCATGTTCCCGATCACTAGTCAACCATTGTATGTGTTGTGAATCGGGGAAGGAAGAGAATTCTGCGTATTGATTCTAGTGAGTAATTACATGGCTAAGTATGCATAAAACTTTCAAGGAGGGAGAATAGGAAAAGATATTTACAATCTCTGGAAATCAGGACAAGATATCTACAATCCCTCAAAATCGGGAATTATTTAAAACATAATATCTTAAACTATTTCCTGCCTAGGAATGAATGTCTTCCATTTCCAGCTGGGATACCATCTCATGAGAAATAGGACCATTTAATCCTTCTCTTAACACATCAGCTAATTGACCTCTCGAGGGAACATAGAACATACAAATGATTCCGTCTTCCAACTTCTCCTTGATGTTGTGTCTATCGATTTCAATATGTTTTATCCTATCATGTTGAGGATTATGAGCAATGTTGATTGCTGATTTATTATCACAATAGAGCTTCATAGGTTCCTCCCACTTGACCCTCAAGTCTTTTAGAATAATCTTCAACCAAAGTAATCCACACATCCCGTGAGCAGCAGCCCAAAATTCAGCTTCTGCAGATGATCTTGCCACAACATTCTATTTTTTGCTCCTCCAAGTTATCAGGTTGCCACCCAGAAATGTACGATAGCCACTGGAGCTGCTAATGAAACTAAAATCCTCACTGGATTCATTTTTGCCACTGGAGCGAATGTTTCCTGTCTCCATAGGTTTGAGTATAGCCTTTCGCCGCTAATCTTGCTTTATATCTTTCGAGTGATCCATCGGCCTTGAACTTTAATGCGAAGACCCATTTGCAATCAACTATGTTTTTCCCACTTGGCCTCTCCACCATCTCCCATGTTCGATTTATTTCCAGTGCCTCTAATTCCTCTCTCATAGTTCCATTTGTCCTTTAATAAAGCCTCAGAAAAGGTATTTGGTATGGAGATTGCGTTTAGACTGGCTATAAATTTATGGTGGGATGGTGATAGGCGTTTAGTTGAGACATAATGGGAAAGAGAATATAGGGGTTTCTTGGTACATTCCCGGGATTTCGTTATGACAGCAATGGGCAGATGGGAGTCATTATCAACTGGAGTGCAAATGTTTCAATGTTTAGGGATAATCTGTACTCACTGCGTCTGCATTCCCACAACTCGGGTTGGTCTCTTGGACTTGTGTCAGGTTCGGGGCTTTTGCCCTTCTTTTATACACCTGAAGATCCTTTTTATGAACATCATTAACATCACCAAAACTGATAGACTCTTCGGATTGACAAGTATGGTCAGTTTCAGTGTTGGGAGGAGACTCGGAATCTTGGCCAGAACTCTGTGAGTTAACCGGACTGGAGACTGAATGTGGAAGATCAAGTGGTTCAAAAGACTTAAGTAGTGACTCAGAACATGTACCATCTTCAAGATTAGTTGTCTCCCCCTGAAGATGGGACTTGGAAAAATAAGATTTGTTTTCAAAAAAGGTAACATCAATCGAGATATAGATTTTTCGTGATGCAGGATGTACCCCTTTTGAGTGGATGAATAGCCAATAAAGATGCATTTTATTGCACGAGGATCTAGTTCACGGGGATCCAGTTCAAGGGGATCTAGTTTTCCTCTATTTGGTCGGTGGACATGTACAAAGGCTGTGCATCCACATATTCTAGGAATGAGACCATTTGTGGTTCGGAAGTGAGGATAGTGGGTCTTTAGGATGTCCATAGGACTTTTTTGTTAAGGACACGTGAGGGTAGTCTATTTATCATGTGTGTGGCTGTTAAAACAACTTCCACCCAGTAAGATTTAGGCATACTCCCATTAAACAACAAGGCTTTAGTAACATTCCATAGATGCCCATTTTTTCTCTCAACTGTTCCATTTTGTTGAGGTGTATCCACACAGGAGGAAGTGTGATTAATCCCTTCTTTTTTAAAATAAGGTGATAAAACCTGATTGAAATAATCCTTAGCATTGTTTAACCTAAAGGTTTTTATTTTTACCCCAAATTGATTTTGGATCATGGAATGAAAGTTGGGGATGATATTACAGACATCAGATTTGTGTTTCATTAAAAACAACCACGTTACACGTGTGCAATCAGCAATTAATGAAACAAACCACTGAGCCTCTGAAACATTAGGACTAGATGATGGACCCCAAATACCACTATGGAACAATTGAAAAGAAAGAACACTTATTTTATTACTGATAGGGAATGGAACACGAGTATGTGTTGCTAGTTCACAAACATCACAATGAAACTCAGAAATGTTAAAACCTAATAATAAATGTGGAAAAATAATGTGTAAGACTAAAGGACGGATGACCAAGACGGTAGTGGTGAAGCCAGATAGTTTCTTTATTGGAAGAACCGAGAAGAGACACATTCAAGTTACTGGCGGTTTATTTGGAATCTCTAGGTGATAGAGACCATTTCTTTCCTTAGCAAGTCCAATCCTCAAGAACACAATGAGACAAGAAAAATGTTGCACAACACTGAAGATCAGTCGTGAGTTTTTTTAATAGAAATAAGAGTGGCTGATAACTTGGGCACATGTAGAACATTTTTAAGAGCCACGGAGAGACTAATATAAACTTCTCTTAAACCTGCCATTGTCGCTAATTCTTCGTTTGCAACAATAATCTTTCTATTACTTGTGTAATAAACCAGCCCCGCAAGGCCCGAGGTAGTTACTCTTTCTATTACTGTACTCACAAACCATGCACAAGCTTTTACCGCGCACTGTGTCCTCACTCGTGCGCAACCTAAGAAACTTTCCTGAGGGTCACATATCCCAAGACTACTCCTGTGCAAACACGCTTAACTTGGAGTTCTAAGGAGATGAGCATCCTTAAAAGAAGATGCATCTTGTTTATATGAGTAGTATTATTAATCTGTTTAAATTAAATCTCAAGTATTACAATCACCCCCACTTAGGAACACAACATCCTCATTGCGCCCATAAATCAATCTCAACAAACCCCATAATCCAATCTTGTTAAGTGCCCGCCCGATATCCAACGGATCAGCACACTGTCGAGGGTTGCTCTGATACCACGTGTAACACCTCAACCCCGTGGGACCCGAGGTAAGTACTCCAGACCTCTAGTATTCTTCTCTTAAACCACGCACAAGTTTTTACCGCGCGCATTGTCCTCACTCGTGAACGCCGTAAGAAACTTCCTAGAGGATTACTCCCGTGTAAGCACGCTTAACTTGGAGTTCTTAGGTGATGAGCTTCCTTAAAAGGAGATGCACCTTCTTGGTATGAGTACTACTATTAATCCGTTTAAATTAAATCTCAAGTATTACAACTTGGACAAGGATTACATGTGCGGAAAAAATGTGAGGAATGTGGCATGTGGTGTGTGGCACCGGAATCTAATATCCAAGAATCTTCAGACAAAATTCCAGATGTGTGCAAGCCACAAGATGTCACTGCTTTAATTGTGAGAACCAAAGCACTAGCCCCGGATGGTTTTTCAAGAGAGCTCAATAGACTTCGTAACTTTCAATCTCATCCTCTTTGAACCTTACCTCATCTCCTTTGCTGCCCGGTTTCTCTTCAACTTTCACTTGTTCCGTGAGATGAGTTTGAGGTCTCTGTTGTCTCCCACTAGTTCCCCACTTGCTGCTCGGAGGTTTTCCAATCAGCTTCAAACAATTTTCTCTGGTATGTCTCAGCTTGTTGCAGTAAGTGCACCATAACGTCACTCTGTTTTCCTTTCTCGAGTTTTCCCTTCCTACACTCCTTGGTTGTCCATCCTAATTCTTATCTTGATGTTCCCATCTTGTCACAAGAGCAGATCCCTCCATAGCACTCAGCTTTTCTAGCATTACATTCCTTCGACTCTCCTCTCCACGAATAATCGAGATAGTCCCTTCCAATGAAGGAACCTCCTCCTTGCCAAGTATTTGTAGCTGAATCTGATCAAAATCAGGATTCAAACCAGCCAAAAAATGATATACTCGATCAGCTTCAATATACTTCTTGAGGATCGTTGCATCTTCTGAGCACTTCATCTTGAACACCCGATAGTGATCTAATTCCTGCCACATGATTTGCAACAAGTTGGCATATGTTGTGACAGACATGTCTCCTTGTTTTATTCCATTCGTCTTAATCTTTATCTTGTGCATTTGGGCTGCATCACGTGCCTTTGAGTAGGTGCGTTGAATGTAATCCGATATTTCATCTGCATTGGTTAGAAACATACAAGTATCGCTAATGGCTGGTTCCATTGAATCCCATAGCCATGACATAATTATTGAGTTCTCTTGATCCCATGCGATGAAACCAAGATTTGATTTTCCCGGTCCAGTCCCCAAGAGATGGCTGATTTTTCCCTTCCCCTTGAGGTATGTGCGGACATCGTGAGATAGTTTTTTCCATTTAGGCGATAAGAGGATCTAATACCATGCGACTCTCCGGATTTCTGTGCAGAAACAACCTCCTCAATAATCACAGAAGTGCGGGTGGTCTTGAGTTCAAAATCAGAATCAATCATAGTTAAATGAAAAGAGAAAGAAACAACAAAGAAGGCTGCTTTGTAGCAAAAAATGGCAGCGATAAAGGCTGCTAGGTGGTGGAAATAAAAATCCAGAGAGTAGCCCTAGGGCTCTAATACCATGTCGTGAATCAGGGAAAGAAGAGAATTTTGTATATTGATTCTACTGAATAATTACATGGCTATGTATTTATAGAACTTACAAGGAGGGAGAATAGGAAAAGATATTTACAATCTTTGGAAATCTGGAAAAGATATCTACAATCCCTGAAAATCAGGAATTATTAAAACATAATGTCTTAAACTATTTCCTGCCTAAAATACTTCTCAACAGTATGTGGTGATTGAAATTTTTGGTGGCAGGGAACTGTCCACCCATTTATACATTTTATCCGATGTTCAGAAAAGATCGTGTTTGGAATAATGAGAAATAACAAGCTAGACCACAATGAAAAAGAAAAGACATTTAAATATGTTGTGTCACAAGCCACCTGAAGAAATGACACCCACGATAAGGTAAGGCCAATCCGCAAGTCTTTCGAACGGGGTCCACTTGCTGCAATATGTATCAATGTGCATAAGAATTCAATCAATATAATAAACCATCTCTAGAACCTCTGTGTGTGAATAATGAAACCACACCCATGTTTCATGTGTGTGTATTCCTTTTAGCTTGTAAAAAACAACCAAAGAATGAGGTGAAAGCATGCTACAAATATACCTTTGATGAAGGGTAAAACCAAGTGCTTGTCCAGACCTCCTTGGAGTGTTTTTGGAGTAAGATGAACTCTTCTCCTTTCATGCACCTATTATGAATAGTATTTGACAAACTGAAGTGGGGGGAATTCGAACACAGTAGCCAAATACGCTCACCTGTGCATCACGGTTCATTCCAAGAGCAAGCAGTGCTCCCAGGGCTTCAGCAAAGGCATCCCGAACCGAAGGTACTGGGTCCTCAAGCGCCTGCAAGATTACACATTGCATCTGCAAACTTAGACTCAAGTACATGAATGAGTAATTAAATTGAACAAATACAATTAAACGGGATAATAAATACTGAAATAGCTAGGGAAATGGACCAAATATCCAACCTTGACACAATAAGATGATGAGCTCTCAAGCTCTCCAACCCCTAATCCAGGTCCACCGATGTTTGCAAATGCCTTTAAACATCTAGCCCCAGCTATTCTAACATGAAATGATTTGTCCCCGACACATGCTCGCATTGTGATACGGAACGCCTCAGTATACGCTGTCAATGCAGCGCTTCCACCTGATCCTTCCAAAGCATTTTGAAGCATGTGTAAACCTTCCTGTCTCACAAAATCCTGAAGTAATTGATAGTTAGGTTTGATGCATATGTTGACAAAATGGTAAACACCGATTATTATATGACAAAAAACAAAGAAGTCATAATACATGTGAATGCATTTGATGCACACATCCTTATTTTCATCGATGAAATAAGAGTTTGCCAAATTAAATATGGGGAATGGTCCTAGTTTTGAAAAAAGAGTAGCAACTAATGCTTGAGCTGATTAAATGTCATGATGGAGAGTGCTTACTTGCTCAAAGAGAGCAAATTGTAGTAAAAGTTGTAATGTTGCCAGCTAACTTGTGAATTATGTGAAAGAAATAAAATTATAGTGCACTGAACTGTCATTTGAGTACACTAATAGTCCAATGTCCTGCATTTTATTCATAAAAACTAGCCTACAGCATACTAATAAATAATAATGCATAGCATGCATCTGTTATGGAGTGCACAGTACAACCCTTACAGCAACCCTCAACTTGTGATCCTCATCACACCCCACCCCCAACCCAAGCTTGTTAAGCTTGCAAATGTAGTCAAATTATGACCTCTGAGAAAACTAGGTGCAAATATCAGCTAATTGAACCGCAAAATTAACAAAGCATGCAATAAGACACCCAAACATGATCTTTTATCTAATACGCAGCATCTGGGGAGTGACGGCTCATGGCAGAGATTCCCAGCTCATGAAAAAAATTGCAGCTGTTAAGGATATGCTTTTAACCCACTTCCCCAGCCGTAATAGCACCATTAGAGGACTGGAAAGTTTCTGCCAGAATGGGAAACTATCATCCTCTAAGCCTCTAAGGTCTACGACTTATTAAGACCAAAGGGCCAGAAGAGGGCAGTTTATGGGTTTCAAGTTCTCGTTTATTGCTTGGCTAGTTTTCCGGGACAGATTGGCTACTTTGGATAATTTGGTATACTTGGATCGGGCTAATACTGCAGCTTCTGTCAACTGGAACCGGAATCTATCTCACGCCTCTTTTTTAGTTGCCCTTTTACTGCAGGTATCTGGCTTGAGATTCGGAGATGGCTGGGAATTAAGAGGAGCATGACAATCGTAGCTAGTACAGTTAAATGGATTAAAAAGGATTATGGAGGGGCACGGATCCGGTGTAAGACCGTCTCCTTGACTTTCTGTTGTGCTGTTTACACAATATGGAGGATGAGAAATGCGGCATACTTTGACCATATCAGCTGCTCCCCCTGGATGTTCTCATTAAAATCAAGGTTGTGTTATATCGGATCTTGTTTACCATGTATCCCAACACTGCAATTGATTTTTAGTTTGATATTTGTAGTTTGTATTTAGTTTGCGCCACCTGTTTTGGCGTTTGTTTTTGTGATTGTAGTCTGTTGGTCCTTGTTTTGGGAATTTTCTGTTTTGCACGTTGTACTTGATGTATGGTGTCTGGTGTAGTTTGAAGGGGATATGTCCCATACTCCCATTTAAAATTGCTTTGTCTTCTAGCAGGTTGTGATTTCTTTGCACCAGGGGATATTACATTTTTAAAATGAGTTCAACATGTACATTTTACCCATTACCTATACTATCGTCGACAATCAACTTTGATGTCTTTAAATCCTTTCTTGAAACACAACATTTGAGGAATTGTGGACTCGCTGCAGCCTCAATACCACAGATCAATGTTATCCTTGATGTGATGACATTCTATAACTATTAACTCATGAAGTAAATGTGTCGAACATACTAGTTCGAATGTACCTGATCTGGAAACAACATCTCACTTCAAACCTTGACAAGACATCAGGTTATCACCTAGAATGATAATAAAATCCAGAGGTGGAGTTTCTGTCAACTGGTGTAAAATTTCCCTGAGCAAACTTCCCATGTGAACCATAGAAAGCATTCTTAATGTAAAAGCGAAGAAAACATGGCGGCAATAGAAAGGACTGAAGGAGTAACCGCACAAAAGCCATCTTGTCCGCTGGGGATGATCAATATAAGCAATATAGGCCAAGAAAAAGAGTAATTGGAAAACATAAAAGCCAATTAATTACTCATGGCAGCCAATTAATTACTCATGGCAGCAATAGAAATGGCTAAAGGAGTAACCGCAAAAAGCAATCTTGGCTGCTAGGGAAAATTAATATAAGCAATATAGGCCAAGAATATGATAATAACCCTTAATAACCAAACAAGCCTTCAGGCAACTACTTTGTCGTCAGTATAAGGATGTTTTCTTTTGAACTGTTTTCAGTTCCAGACCAGACCAGACTTCCGTAGTTATAAAATACACAGACACCAGACGTTTACCAGACCAAACCAGACCAGTTCAGAGCAGACCAGACCAGCAAATTTCAGTCCAAAAGAAAACATCCTAAGTCCACATGCCCCAAATGTCTTACCGAGAAGAAGAGGAACCAACTCCGATGTGCAGTGTACCACTTGAGAATAGATCTTTCGTTCAGCCAACATGGAATGTCGCCAAACAAGATCTGCCAAAGCCTAGTAGAGATAGTGTGTTGGCACTTGGTGGCTTGGTTAAAGAAAACATGACATTGAACACGAGGAGACATTGATCCCAAGAAGAGGAAAAAAATACAAGAGCGTGATTCTGGTCATTGGAGTCAGCGCGGGAGAATAAATGCTCAACCTTCAATGGTTGTCGCTAAAAAAATATGAAATACCGGTATCATCATCATCATTAACCCACTACCGCAAAGGCTCCCACCTACGATGGGATAAGGGGGGGTCGGATGTACGTAACCTTACCCATGTACTAAAGCTAGCACAAAGAGACTATTTCCGGATGACACATAGTGAAACAACAACAACAACAACAACAACCAAGTCTTAGTCCCAAAAGATATTGGGGTCGGCTAACATGAATCGATACATGATATCACCACCAAAAGGAAAAGAAAGAAAAAATAAAAACAAAAAAGATAAGCTATTATAAAAAAAGATAATATAAAAAGAGATGAATATGCATAAAAATGATAAATAAATAAATAAATAATAAAAAAAGATAAAAATAATGCTTATATATATGAGGATAAAAGGATTAAAAAAATACAAGAAAAAAAGATGAGGGGAAAAGATGATATGAAATCACTCTTCCACACGAATACCCGTCCTCCACTTTGCCCTCTCCAAAGCCATACCCTCGTCTAACCGCAAAAGAAGCATATCACTTCGGACTCCCCTAACCCACGTATGTTTGGGCCTTCCTCTCCCTCTTTTCCCTGCCTCTTCTCCACACATCTCAACTCATCTGACAGGTGCATCACTCGGTCTTCTACGCACCTGACCAAACCACCGTAGGCGCGACTCCCGCATCTTGTCTTCAATAGGTGCTACTCCCACCTTTGTCTGATTGTCTCATTCCTCACGCACTCCTTCCTAGTATGCCCACACATCCAACGCAGCATGCGCATCTCTGCCACACTCATCTTTTGAATGTGACATTGTTTCACCGTCCAACACTCTACGCCATACAGTAATGCAGGCCTAATTGTTGTCCTTTAAAATTTACCCTTCAGTCTAGTCGGCATACCTCGATCGCATAAAAATCATGACGCACTCTTTCCACTTCATCCACCCTGTTCTGATTCTATGGGATACATCTCCATCTAACTCACTATCCTTCTGAATTATGGAGTACAAGTAACAAAACATATCGTTGACCAGTATCTCCTTACCATGTTCTACAATGTTTGTCGTCATGCTTCCAACTTTGCTTTAAGACCTGATTGCGTCTCATCAATCAATACAATATCGTCGGTAAACATCATGCACCACGGTATATCGTCTTGAATTGACTTCATAAGTTCATCCATGACTATGGAAAATAAGAAAGGGCTCAGAGCCGATCCTTGGTGCACTCCGATAGTAATAGGGAACTTCGCAGTCCTCTGTACACTAGTACGGATACTTGTAGGAGTTGTAGTACAATCCTCATACATATCCATGACATGAATCGAAATATGACACATATTGAAAATTGAGGCGAAAATTGCATGGGCTAACTCATGCTTAATAACAAAGAAACACAAACGGTTTAGTGAGTCATTTTGCTTTATTCCATCATATTCCCAAGCCAAAAAATAGTGAATCTTTGGCTCCATTGCAAATGATGGACAAAAAGAACATTCTACTCTTTATCTTCGAAGACCACCAACCAAATATTAAGAGCCGTGATTCTTTAACCATTGTTATCCTCATACTTCTTACTATCCATTACACCAATGTATCCAAGATATCTCTTGAAGACAGCATGGAGCTTATAGCTTTAGGTATGAACAAGTGGTACTTACTAGTTACTACTACCTCCGTCCCACTAACATTGGAACATGAGGAGGTGACGCGGTTATTAAGAAAAATGAGGTTATGTGGTTGATATTGAATCGGTAAAGTAAGAATAAAATAAGAATGATTTACAACCACACAAACTTTAACAAATTTGGTATGGAACAATCTTAGTGGGACTTCCCGAAAAGGAAAAATGGGACAATTTTAGCGGGACAAAGGGAGTATTACACAATAACTCGAAAACCATATCTCAAAAAAAAAACTTCTCATGTTATAGGATCCGGCCAAGCTCATCCATTGGATCAAAAAATCAAGATTAGGAGATGTGGATCCATTTTATTCGCAAATCAAAAGGCTTCATCTTTTCCTTTATACGCTCTTTGTGTGCTGGGTACCTCAACCATATGGCAAAGGCTCTATGTCCCATAGTATGTATACATATTGTTTAAATACATGATTTCGTAACAGGGCTCGGCCCACTAATAAACCTAAGACACTTGACATTGTAATGGCTCGTTACTAAGATTATTTTCGCTTGTGTTCTAAAAAATCTGTCTAGGCACCTAGTCCCCTCTTGGGCAGTACTCGATAGGCTTTCCTTAGCAGCCTATGTTTATTAATTAGACCAATCCAGCTGACCCCGCTCAAGCCCCGCCTAGGCATTAAAACCTAATCAGGCAAAACATGGGAGTAACACCTATTGAAGATAAGATTGTGATGCTCTGCCAATGTATTTCGAAGACCAAGTAATGCGACTGTTGGAAAATTTGAAAGGAGGGAGAGGAGAGGAGAGGGGAGGGGAGGGGAGGGCCTAGGCAGAGGTGGATTAGAGTGGTCAAGAATGATACAGTACTTCTTGGATTATATGGCAGTGTCACTTTGGAGAGAGCGGAGTAGGGGGGGAAACATGTGTGCATGATTGATCTGATTTTGTATGTCTCCTTTTTTCTCTCTTTATTGTTTTCAGCTCCGACGTCATATGTTGATTCATGTGAGCTGACCTCAAACTCTTTTGGAATTAAGGCATGGATGTTGTTGTTACTCTAGTGCATGAATTACTAAATCTTTGAATGAATAGTGAAAAGGAATGTTGGTGTTACAACCTAATAAATGAAATAGATATTAATTACAATCACTTTGATGCTTAACTACCTCGTTAAACCTCATAATTTTTGTGAGAATTACAGTTGTTTCAGGTAATCCAGATGTGATCCGTCTCCCAAAATACCGATACAATTCACCCAAGCACTGAGCCGCACCTACAGTGTACATAGAATAAAATGAGTGGCATGCATTCACCATATGTACATCATATGAAGGAAAGAAAACAATAGAATATAAATAGAAACAAGGAGTACTACTGCGAATGTTTTTAATTGGACTGAAATTTCTGATCAGATCTGGTCTGTTTAAGTCTGATCCGGTATGGTCCAGTAAATGGTCTCTGTATATATTATAATTATCGAAGCCTGTCTGGTTCTAGTATGTTTTGGTTTGGTCTGTGACTGAAATAAGTCCAACTAAAAACATCCTACATAATATCGAATTCAATGTGCAAACAATAATAACTCAAACAGGTTGTCTTCAGGTCTCCTTGTTGAAATACAAGAACAGGTTGTGGTCTATGACGGAGAAATAGGCATCACCATCATACACATTATATTATTCTCAGACCCTGACCATTAAAAAAATGTGACTATTAAACTGACTATTGATGAAATTGCAAATTCTAGAATGACCAACCAGCAACTCGGAAAGGCTCGCTTTTCTTTCCGTCTGAGAGAAATCCCTGCAAGCTGCTTGCTCTGGAATAGATTGAAATGGCATCACCCTTTTGTATGACCCTCGCCATAGCTAAAGATGCCAAGTGTCGGACCGGCTTTCTTGCACCAATAACAAGAAGAGAATAAATAGCATCCTCACATTTCCTCTGACACAGCAGTATCGATTCCTGAACTACGGATATCAGGATCACAAAACTTGAGTTCATGCACTATAATGCACGAAATTATCATCTGAAATGAGATCTACCCCAATTGATCTATGGATAAAAGTAACATTAGGTAACAAAACACTACTAGTAAACCCGTGCCCACTCTAGTAGTGTGCTCATATATCTGCCTAAAGTATGAAACTGAAAGGATTTTCATAAGAAAGGCCGCAACTTTTGTTAAAGTGTCTACTAGTCAGTTAAAAAACACAATCCCCCAACAAAATATATTGCCTCAAAGTTCACATTTCCTGACTAAGCATCCAAAATTAAATATTTATATTGGATTTACTTGCTTATTGTTAACACCTGTACAAAATAAGAGAAGATAATTGTGGAAACATACTGCGGTGCAGTGTCAAGGAAATATACATAACTTTGGAAGGGCTAGTACAGTGGCATAAGAAAGCAATTGATTTGCAAGGGGTCTAAAGAGAAACATGATTTGGAAGGGCTAGTACAGTTAAGAAACATGACCTTGGGCTCCTCGTTGATGGCGGAGATGAGATCGGAGAGGAGATCAAAGCAGAGAAGAGGGTCGGGAGGCTTGTGAGCAGCAGAGGAGACTATGGATTCTAATTGCGCCACCAACACTCCGAATCTCGATAGGAGAGCATTCTCTCTCACGTAGCTATTCGCCATTTTTAAAGTATCTGAGCTTTTCTTCTTCCGGAACATACAAATCCGGCAACGCTCCTATACCGGTGCAATAACCATTAGTGACGGACTTACGCAGAGAGCCTTCCGCAGTTCCGCATGTAGAGCCCTTCGTAATTACAGTGTAAGTCCTCATATAGCAGGCTTTATCCGACATTCGTCATTTGGGGCTGTTCATTATTGGGCAATTATATTCAACAATTCATTTGAATACCTTCCCGATTGAAGTTTTAGTTGAAATTTGGTATGAGCAAACTAGACTCAATGAATAAGATGCTCAAAAAATTTCATCAAAAAAATCTACCGAGAACCGCTCAAATGGCGACGACCGAACAGAACCTCCTATATAAGGGTTTTATTTGACCTTTTTAGAGGCCATTTGGAACCACTGTTTTTCAGCTTATCAGCCAACTTTTTCACCAAACACGTAACTTTTGTTTTCGCGCGCTGAATTGTATAATAAGCGGAAAAAGTAAGGTTGGAGTTACTTTTCTGGTTGTATTGGCTGAAGTTAGTGTAGATGACCATTTTAGCTATTTTTACATATAATTTTTTCTTTATTTTATTAATAAAATATATTTTAAAAATAATTTTTTCTTAAATCAGCACAATCAGTCAATGCAGCCACTTCAGCCAAAACTTCATAAATTTCAGCATAAACAGCCAAAACAGCCGATTTTCATGCTACCAAACGGGCTCTTATATAAGTTCGAGGACCTATTAAACCTCTTTCCCTTGTAAATAATTGTAAATGTAAATAATGCCAAAATTTCAAAAGTCCCTTAATTTTAAAAGTTTATGGGCTTTAATTTTTTCCCGGAATAATGCTAATTAAGTAATTAATTAATTCCCAGACTACTGTAAGGTTAAGAATAATTCCCAAAATACTGCTGGGGTTAATCACGGTTAACGAAAACCGCCACTCCAAGTGGCGGCTCTTCTACCGCTTCACAAAAGCCGCCACTTTGAGTGGCGACTCTTCTATTGCTTCACCAAAACCGCCACTTCGAGTGGCGGCTCATTAATTCAGAAATTAAAACCCTCTTACCAATCGACGAACGAAAGCTCTGCAACACAAAGTATTTTCTCTACAACAACGAGGAAGGAAGCTGCGATATCGGCGACAAAGGTTCCCAATTCGGTCAGAACTCGTCCAAATTATGTATAGAAAGAAAGATACATGTCTTGAGTGTTTTCGGGTTTACTAAATCAACCGAGTCACGGAGATTGGCCTAGATTGTTCATACGACAACGAAAAATGGATTTTCGGGTTGCATTGGGTTCCTATATCATAAATACACATTTCTCGTTCAGAACACAAGTCCAAATTATGTATAGAAAGATTGATACATGTCTTGAGTGTTTTCGGGGTTTACTAAATCAACCGAGTCACGGAGATTGGCCTAGTCAGGTAAAGTCTGGACTATGATGAAAGCATGGATTGGCATTCCACGGATGATGGGGACTCTAGCTAGTTCGTCAAATGGATCAAGAAGGAAAGGAGCGGAGCTAATGTGCAACCCAAAGCTGCTAAGATTGCTTTCTCTTACACCATCTACTGGGTTTGGAGGGTCAGGAATGCAGCTAGATTTGATGAAATTTTGCCAAAAGAGGGGGAAGTTTTTGCTAGGATAAAATATGTTGTCTATAAAATTTTGTATAGCATCTATCCTTATGATTTGGTAGTACTCTGATAACTTTCCGCCCACCACCTATTTTTCGAGTTGCATTGGGTTCCTATATTATAAATACACATTTCTCGTTCAGGACTCAAGTCCAAATTATGTATAGAAAGAAAGATACACGTCTTCAGTGTTTTCGGGTTTACTAAATCAACCGAGTCACGGAGATTGGCCTAGATTGTGCATACGACAACGAAAAGTTGATTTTCGAGTTTCATTGGGTTCCTATATCATAAATACACATTTATCCTTCAGGAATCAAGTCCAAATTATGTATAGAAAGAAAGATACACGTCTTCAGTGTTTTCGGGTTTACTAAATCAACCGAGTCACGGAGATTGGCCTAGATTGTGCATACGACAACGAAAAGTGGATTTTCGAGTTGCATTGGGTTCCTATATAATAAACACACATTTCTCCTTCAGGAATCAAGTCCAAATTATGTATAGAAAGAAAGATACACGTCTTCAGTGTTTTCGGGTTTACTAAATCAACCGAGTCACGGAGATTGGCCTAGATTGTGCATACGACAACGAAAAGTGGATTTTCGGGTTTCATTGGGTTCCTATATCATAAATACACATTTCTCCTTCAGGAATAAAGTCCAAATTATGTATAGAAAGAAAGATACACGTCTTCTGTGTTTTCGGGTTTACTAAATCAACCGAGTCACGGAGATTGGCCTAGATTGTGCATACGACAACGAAAAGTGGATTTTCGAGTTTCATTGGGTTCCTATATCATAAGTACACATTTCTCCTTCAGGAATCAAGTCCAAATTATGTATAGAAAGAAAGATACATGTCTTGAGTGTTTTCGGGTTTACTAAATCAACCGAGTCACGGAGATTGGCCTAGATTGTGCATACGACAACGAAAAGTGGATTTTCGAGTTGCATTGGGTTCCTATATCATAAATACACATCTCTCGTTCAGAAGTCAAGTCCAAATTATGTATAGAAGAAAGATACACGTCTTGAGTGTTTTCGGGTTCACTAAATCAACCGAGTCACGGAGATTGGCCTAGATTGTGCATACGACAAAGAAAAATGGATTTTCGAGTTGCATTGGGTTCCTATATTATAAATACACATTTCTCGTTTAGGACTCAAGTCCAAATTATGTATAGAAAGAAATATACATGTCTTGAGTGTTTTCGAGTTCTCTAAATCAACCGAATCACGGAGATTGGCCTAGATTGTGCATAAGACAACGAAAAATGGATTTTCGAGTTGCATTGGGTTCCAATATTATAAATACACATTTCTCGTTCAGGACTCAAGTCCAAATTATGTATGGAAAGAAAGATACATGTCTTCAGTGTTTTTGTGTTTAATAAATCAACCGAGTCACGGAGATTGGCCAAGATTGTGCATACGACAATGTAAAATGGATTTTCGAGTTGCATTGCATTCCTATATCCTAAATACACATTTCTCGTTCAGAACTCAAGTCCATATTATGTATAGAAAAAAAGATACATGTCTTGAGTGTTTTCGGGTTTACTAAATCAACCGAGTCACGGAGATTGGCCTAGATTGTGCATACGACAACGAAAAGTGGATTTTCGGGTTTCATTGGGTTCCTATATCATAAATACACATTTCTCCTTCAGGAATCAAGTCCAAATTATGTATAGAAAGAAAGATACACGTCTTCTGTGTTTTCGGGTTTACTAAATCAACCGAGTCACGGAGATTGGCCTAGATTGTGCATACGACAACGAAAAGTGGATTTTCGAGTTTCATTGGGTTCCTATATCATAAGTACACATTTCTCCTTCAGGAATCAAGTCCAAATTATGTATAGAAAGAAAGATACATGTCTTGAGTGTTTTCGGGTTTACTAAATCAACCGAGTCACGGAGATTGGCCTAGATTGTGCATACGACAACGAAAAGTGGATTTTCGAGTTGCATTGGGTTCCTATATCATAAATACACATCTCTCGTTCAGAAGTCAAGTCCAAATTATGTATAGAAGAAAGATACACGTCTTGAGTGTTTTCGGGTTCACTAAATCAACCGAGTCACGGAGATTGGCCTAGATTGTGCATACGACAAAGAAAAATGGATTTTCGAGTTGCATTGGGTTCCTATATTATAAATACACATTTCTCGTTTAGGACTCAAGTCCAAATTATGTATAGAAAGAAATATACATGTCTTGAGTGTTTTCGAGTTCTCTAAATCAACCGAATCACGGAGATTGGCCTAGATTGTGCATAAGACAACGAAAAATGGATTTTCGAGTTGCATTGGGTTCCAATATTATAAATACACATTTCTCGTTCAGGACTCAAGTCCAAATTATGTATGGAAAGAAAGATACATGTCTTCAGTGTTTTTGTGTTTAATAAATCAACCGAGTCACGGAGATTGGCCAAGATTGTGCATACGACAATGTAAAATGGATTTTCGAGTTGCATTGCATTCCTATATCCTAAATACACATTTCTCGTTCAGAACTCAAGTCCATATTATGTATAGAAAAAAAGATACATGTCTTGAGTGTTTTCGGGTTTACTAAATCAACCGAGTCACGAAGATTGGCCTAGATTGTGCATACGACAACGAAAAGCGGATTTTCGAGTTGCATTGGGTTCCTATATCATAAATACACATTTCTCGTTTAGGACTCAAGTCCAAATTATGTATAGAAAGAAAGAAACATATCTTGAGTGTTTTCGGGTTTACTAAATCAACCGAGTCACGGAGATTGGCCTAGATTGTGCATACGACAACGAAAAGTGGATTTTCGAGTCGCATTGGGTTCCTATATCATAAATACACATTTCTCGTTTAGGACTCAAGTCCAAATTATGTATAGAAAGAAAGATACATATCTTGAGTGTTTTCGGATTTACTAAATCAACCGAGTCACGGAGATTGGCCTAGATTGTGCATACGACAACGAAAAGTGGATTTTCCTGTTGCATTGGGTTCCTATATCATAAATACACATTTCTCGTTTAGGACTTAAGTCCAAATTATGTATAGAAAGAAAGATACATATCTTGAGTGTTTTCGAGTTCACTAAATCAACCGAGTCACGAAGATTGGCCTAGATTTTGCATACGACAACGAAAAATGGATTTTCGAGTTGCATTGGGTTCCGATATCCTAAATACACATTTCTCGTTCAGGACTCAAGTCCAAATTATGTTTAGAAAGAAATATACATGTCTTTAGTGATTTTGTAAAATGATTATTAAGTTAAAAATGGATGGACCGTCATCTAAATTATTTGATACAGTTAAATTTGGATCTTAGTCTATGCTTCGGGGACGAAGCATTCTTTTAAGGAGGACAGATTGTGACACCTTGAAAAAAAATGAAAATAAATAATTCAGTTTATGCTTCGGGGACGAAGCATTCTTTTAAGAAGGGTAGAATGTGACACTCCAAAAATTTAAATAAAATAAAATACACTATTGGTTAGGTAAAATGCCAAAGTGACATTTATGTAACTC